TTTTTTACTGTCTGGAAACGTGTAAAGTTATCGATTATCAAAAAATCTCGTACTGCGCGGGCACTGGGAGCATATATGTACGTTCGAAATTTCATGTCTCTAACTCTTATAGGTTCTGAGATGGACACGTACAAAAATACGGAGAGATCGACGCTCATCGCTAGATCGACTTGACCATTTCCCTAAACCGTAAGAGCTAGGAAGTTGGATATTTGCACGGTAGTTACCTTATGTGATGGAGGTGCACGCCAAGCCCGGTTTTTGGGAAATTCCTTTCGGATTCAAAGTCATTTTCAAAGGTATTTGTGAAAATTTGTTTGTTTTTTGGATGATAAGGTGTCCCATCGGTCTCAAACTTTTTTTCAAAATTCTAAATAAAAACTAGCTGAATACGTGAATTAGCTATTTTGGAAATTCCACCCGCATTTGTGGAATTGCGGATTGGCTCCACACTCATTTTCACTGCGTGCAAAAGATACACCTAAAATATTAAGCACACAACTTGACACTGGCAGGGCCAGGGAATACCCGCTAGTATATACATATATTGAAAATGTCATAGTCTTACTTCGATATTAAAAATATGCCTGTGTTTGAACCCTGATTTGCACCCAACGGAGTGGATTTCCGCAATCGCAATCGCGTTTCAAATAATATTTAACATAAATAAAATTAAACAAGTAAGAGGTTCTAGTCGGGAGCTCCCGGCTAGGGGATACCCTGTACCCTCTTCTTCCAACACCAAATGCAGCTCGCGCTACGCGTTCAAAAAAGTTTCCTTGGCTTTCCTCGTAACTGACCGCACCACTTACCGCTGCCTCTACTCAAGGGCCACTCCAATAATTGAGCTTTAATAAGAAAAGAACCAATTAAAATAGCAGCACAGAAAACAATACAATCATAATTGCAATTCTGTTGATAGAATTCAAAGGAAACACGCATGAATGTGTGTGTGTGTACATGTATACAGAAATTCTTGGAATTTGCGCAGCAGCTATGCTGCTAATACGTGCGCACATAACTTTTGTTATCTTATTATCTTATTATAGAGTGGAATATAGAATACTTGTGTATTCTCAAAAAATCAATTGCATATAAATTGTGGCTTAAATTGATGGGCAATACAAGTTGGATAATTAACTTGATTTATAGCTTTGAGGTGGTAGCGGGGAGGTGGCAATAGGTATAAAATTTAAGATACTTGATATATGTATATATTTTTCTAGAAGCTACATGTCAAGTTTGGTGACCCTAGGTCATATTGCTCAAAAAGGCCGAAATTGCTCAAAAAACAGGATTTTAATATCGATTTTTATTGATTACTTGGAAACGGGACAAGTTATCGAATATCGGAAACAAACTCTATCTGCGCGGGCATTAGGAGGACCTACAGCTAAAATTTCTCTAGCTTTTATAGGTTCTGATATCCTTGCGTTAATACATACGGACGGACGGAGAGACGGACAGGCGGACAGACAGACAGACGGACAGACAGACAGACAGACAGACGGACATGGCTAGATCGACTCGGCTATTGATGCTGATCAAGAATATATATACTTTATGGGATCGGAGATGCTTTCTTCTGCCTGTTACATACATTTGCACAGATACAATATACCCTGTTTATCCATTTTTAATGGGTTCAGGGTATAATAATGAGAGTGAAACCGATCGGACGAAAAATAATCCGTAAAATAAAAATAATCGCTGGGGCGGCCTTTTAACATATTTAAGTGAAAATCTGCTTAAACAAGATTGGTCTACTCGGGAGTCTCCGTTCGTTGCCTGCCTTGGAAGCGAACACGCAATTTCGCTGAACCTTGCTACCGCCTTAGTTTTTTTTTTCGCAGAAACTCAGATCTTGGTATAGCTGTGGAGTATGAGGCGGGGAGTATGTGAAGCAGTTCGGTCGGTTTAATATATATTTGCGAGTTCGACTCCGGTAGAGGGAACTGACTTTTTTTTTAAAATTATTTTTATATATTCTAAAGCAAACAAGCGAGTAGCTCGATCTGCTGCACCTAGTCGGGTACTACCGACTAGAGTACTCTTATTTGTTTTATTACTACATGACTAAGAATTGGTATGGAAACACGTATATAAGACAATTTAAACGGGTGAGGAAATATGGTCGCAGAGTAAATCAAGGCTCCACATTTGTTTTTCCATATATTGATATTGTGGGCTTAACTTTCTTTTGCCTGTGAGTTCTCGTAAATTTTTTTGATTAATTTGGAATATGTCGTACGGTATATACTAGGACGACAAGATGTAAGGTAAGTGAAAAACCACGCAAACACTGTTGAAACAACTAAGCTGATGACGGTCTTCGAAGTCGTAGAATAAATTTCAAGTTGTCTGTCAACTTACGCTCAATTTCGTTGGCCAAGACCGTGGCAGCTAAGTTGAAGCAGTAAATTGCTACTGAAAAAGTTGTAAACTTCAAACTCAAGATGATTGTACATTTAAAGAGGGCAGACAATCTCGTAGACAAAGTGTTCTGCTACATTTTTTTTACATTTTTTAAAATTTAGTTACATCCCTGTAACAGTCGGGAATGTCAGTATATTTGCCTCCATTAGTAAACGCGATTTTACTGTTTTGTTTTTTATTTTGGTAAAATAATTAGTCTTTGTGTACATTGAAAAGAAGTTAATTTTAATCAAATGAGACTATGAATAAGTATATGTGCATGTCAAATATAAGCACAACATATTTTGAAATAAACAAGTGTATCCCCATACCGGATCATTACAAAAAAAACAATCTTTTGTTGAAATGAAATAGTCACAAGTCTTCAATTTATGTGACAAAAAATATTGATGGTTATCGTAGCTATCTATAAAAACGAAAAATTCTCAAAAAATCGCCCCAGTTTCCTAAGACGATAGTATTTTAATCAGAAATAATACTACTTTTAATGCGTAATCCCCCCGTTGTCATATGTCATTTTGAAGCACACGGCCAGTATTATATTATGCTATTTTTTCATTATTTGATTTTGTTTTAATAAAAGTTGTCAGATAAGTTACTTGAAAGAAAACATCAAAAATGTTGTGTTGATGGTGATAAAAATGGAAACATATGAGCTCATGCATACAGACCGACAGTAGATTATCGCATTGTAAGATTAGCAGATTGCACAATTTTTTTTATGTTAACAATTGCAATAATTTCCATTTTTCAGGGCCAGTTTGAAAGTCACCACACCAAAAATTTGGTATACTCAAGTGCACTTCGGTTATAACAGTTTTCATAAATGCCCAATAATCAAAAACAAATAAATTGGTAATCGGTAAAGACAGTATGGACCATATAGAACAATTGAATAAAGTATATTTTTCCTTTTAAAAAGCCCCTATCAATAGCCGTATATTATTTTTTCACAATAAAGATTTGTATGAAAGGTTATTGATTCGTTTTAAGGGGTACGAAATATCATAAGTGGGAAACAAAGCGTCAACCAAAAGCAGCTTATACTAAAATATAAATCTCAATAATCGTCTGCTATGACGATGAATGTCCTTGTCCGGCTTACAGTCCCACTGCGTTGAGTATGCAGAAAAGGGGTAAAAGTCGTCGGGAAATTTGTATGCACGTTCGCATCTTAAGTAAAAACGTCAGAATCTTTTCTTTTTTCCTTACGATAAGGTAATTTTTTATTGTATTTTTTCTGATTTCCCGCAGTTTTTCTATTCTTTCTCGCATTTAAGCTTTAGTAAAACATTTGCCAGTGTTGGGGAAGGACTCCCAAGAGATTCTGTGTTGAAGTTGCCTGCCTCGTGATATTCTTGGTATTGGTGACGTCTTTCTTGTGATTGTCTTGGCAACGTTTAAGGAGTAATCAAAATGAATTTGTTGGTTGTGAATTTTACGCTTTAATGAAAGCAAACAGACATGTGCATGCATGTACTTTTGTAGACTTTTTGTTGGCCAACTGCTTTGCGCTTACCTTGATTGGGCTAATCGAGCAGAGTCAAGGACATTAAGTAAAAATTTAAGATATTAATTTATTTATGTATTTTTTTATCTATGTTATAAATCTCTATAAGATATGTCGTCCCTATTGACTGGTTTTTAAAATTTACTCGCTCGATATAAGTAATATTTGAAGATGATTTGATCCCATTAACAAAGATTGGAATGGATGTTGTTAGAACATCAAGCCCCACTTCTTGTTGTTACCTATTTAAGTCTAACGTGATTTCATGTCACTTACAATAAGCTTCACACATAACTAAATCGGGAGTGCATTTATGCATCGATCTACATATAAATAAACAAAATATTACATACATTCGCGCACGTCGTTTGCTGTCCAGCTTACGAGAGTCTCTTTGGCTCTCAAAATTATATTCTTATCGACTCAATGGAAACATATGGGCACATGCATACAGACCGACAGTAGATTATCGCATTGTAAGATTAGCAGATTGCAGCTGCTAACGACTGTTGAATGTTGAAAATTATTTGTTTTGCTAAAAAAAGTAACGCAATCTGCGGTATAAAAGATTTCTATATTATATTACAAATGGCTACCTTTGAAGTCCAGTCATCGCAAAAAGAAAACATGAAATCTTATAATTTTACGACATAAAATAATTCACTTAAAATCAAATAAAATTTCATCTTCTTTCAATAGAAATGATCACGCTGGGTAGAGCTTCACCTGGTAGTCAGGTTGCATTGCTTCCATTCATAAGCTACTGAAGAGAACAGTGAATAGTTAAACACTGCCAAAAGGCAGCAACAAATAGCAAGCAAGTTGAAGTGGAAAAGAGTGACATTGTAGCTCGCAGCGAGCCGAAGGAAGAAATATTCAAATAAATATAAAGTGAGTGATTTGAGGTTTGGCGACACTAACGTGACTTTATAAAGCTATAACATGGCAACAAGTAGTCAAGGTCTGTTAGGTTAGTTAGCTGCCCCAACCTCCTTATTATCTATAAGCCAAATTATGTGATCGGTATATTATTAACTATTCTACATAAACTCGTTACTATCATACATAGCAACATTTTTTTAATGTAAACTGAAAACAAACTAGTTTTGTAGCAGCAAGGAAAATAGAATTGTAGTACACCCTGGAGTAATTGTTTTACGATTTTTTATATGTCTAGTAAAGTACACATGTCTAGAAATGATGTGGATGCATTTGTAAGTATACTTAGTAATTGGAAAATATTTCGATTTTAAAGATGGTATGTATATTTCCAGATGCAGTCGGGCATTTATTGCTGGCACCAATCAGAGCATACCAAAGGTGGAGGAGAGCCTAGATGGCACCGAGTGCTTTTCAGAAGATTCCAAGGACGACGTTAATAAAAAGAATGATCGTTGTGTCGAAATAAATGGTAGTTCCCCACAGTTTGCATTCCACAAAATGCTGAACCGCCAAACGTTGACAAAAACCTACCACTTGCGGGCAGTATATAGGCCTCGATTACGAAAGATTTATCTCTATGGCTATCCACTATTTTACAACTGTGTTTCGACAAGTATTCAGAACAAACAATTTCGACGTTTGGACGCCAATGATCATTTTCTGCACCAAGCACTCTCGGCGGATGATGTAAATCAGTTGACAGATCTACATGAATCCACACATTTATTGTATATAAATAAACATTCAGAAGGAAATAATGTTCGTACGCCATGCATTGCAGCTAACCAGCTATCTGTGCAATCAGAAAACTGGGTAGCTAGCGATTTGCTTGATGCCAGCGAGCTAGAAGTCTTCACTTCATCTGAAAATTCCCCTCTACAACCGGACAGTGTTAATAACTTGAACGTTACGTGTATAAATAACGCATGTGGCTTATCCTTCGATCACAATGAGTGCAGATGCTGTTTATGCTTGAGAAGGAAAAACGCAATTAAATCAAGTGTTTCAAAGGCCAAACGTTTCATCGATGAGGCTGTGCAGTCTTTGCGTGCATTACCATCTTACCCAGCTTATGCCTCTCATTCCCGTAAAAGAAAGACGAACGTATACCTTATTAATCTTGCTCATCTGTTACTGGTAATCACGTGCCTACGTGGAGTGTTTTAAAACAAATGTGAGTCAAAGTCTAAAAATGATTTTTGCAAAATTACTATGTATAGGCAATGTTTATCGTAAAAACGAAAATGTTAATTTCTGAAATATGATATGCAGGCATGTGTATTTCATACCCTTCAAACCTCGTGTCAAGATAAATTTTAATAAATAATTCTCTGAGTTATCGAAAACTGGATATATTTCAAATAAACATAGTTGTATCTAACCTACCTATTAATATCAATTATTAACCAAACTATTCTATACCGTTAAAGTATTTTATGTATATATAACTAGCAATAAATGATTATATGTAGATTGTATACAAATCTTATAATAGTGAGATTATATGGAACAAAGTAAATAATAATACAGGTATTTTCTATGAACGCAAACAAGTAATATATATGTGTGTGCGTGTTTGTGTGTTTGCATGAATGTGTGGGTGTGTGTGTTTGTATGCATTTATGAATATACATATGTATGCATGCATGTTTGTTTTCTAATACCAAACCAAACCCAGCTTATTTGTCGCTGTGCTGCAAATTTAAATAAACCGAATTTCTACCAAGTGCTCTACTCCTCGATTCTCAAGAAGTCAAGTAGGCTTTGCAGTTTTTTATGCTTAGCTAGTAGTGTAGCGGTTTTTTTTGTTTTTTTTTGTTGGGTTTTTCTTGTGTTGTTGTTGTTTTTTTTTTTTATATGTAAATTTATATGTATGTATGTATGTACATATATATATGTATGCATGGCGGTATGCATGTATGTACATATATATATGCATGTTTTGCATATATACAAACAAACATGCATGCATGTATATACAAATACGCATACATATACATATGTATATGCAGACATGCACACAATCAGCATACATCTTTGAGTCACATTTCTACCGAAGAAGCGTGGAGCTTTCTGAAAACTGCGAAACCCCCATCAGATTAATTTTGACAAAGATCTTTGAAAAGGTTTTTGAAGCCGACTGATGGTAAGCGAAAAACTTTCATTCAACAAATCGCAGAAACACGTATTCATTAAGTTCTAATGTAGAACTGTATCATTTATTTTTATGCAAATCGGAAAAACTTAGAGCAAAAATCTTTGCATTTTCCACCGAGGAAGTTTGGATTCTGCGAAAATTGTAAAACACGTCTCAAATGATTTGTCGTATAGATTTTAGGAAATAAATTTGTACACGAAACGCCATCCACCAAATATTTGACCCTCATTTCCACCAAAGGGGAATTCATTTTTCGAAAAGTGTGAAACAACCCTCAAATGAATTGGAGCAAAGATCTTTAAAAATGAGTTTGTGGCCGATAGGATGGTAAACAACAAAGTTTCATACAAATGTTTTTCACGATTTTTCTGTACATGCGGGTGGAATTTTTCGAAACCCCGTCGTCACATAAATATATATATATATATATATATATATGTACATATATATATATAAATAATATATCGCTCACCTGACGGAATCAGCAATGCTTGGGTACAAGGTATATCCTAGTCGTGCACATCTGACTAGATCACTCTTTCTACGTTTGTTTCGTACTAAAAACTAAGCCTGCTAAGGCATGCTTATATATTTTTACTATATTTTAGTGCAAGTGACAAGGTGGGTTTTGCTACTGACGCAAGTTAATAAAGTTAGCTGCTAGCCAATTTAAAACTAACACATTTAAAATGTGGCTGGTGGTAGTCGCCATTGATTGAGTTTACTGTGCACGCTAAAAGCCTAACTAAAATTAATTAACATTTTTATATAAACAAAGTAATTGACGAGAAAAACAAAAGTACTAATATAGTTTATACACTACGTTTTTCAACTTCTCTACAATTTTCAACATGGTAAGGTATACGAGTGAATAGTTAAATGCAAAATCGGGGTCTCTAGTTCTTGTAGTCATTGACATTCAAATTTTTTAACTGTCGGACAGACATACCAATCCATAAACACATCCGCCTATTGATACAGGTGCAAAAAGTTATTGAAGCATTAAAATAAATATGTGTATTTTTTTGTGTTTTTATATAGTTCTTTTTATAACTAATCAGCTAAGCTTTAAAAAAAAGTATTTGAAAGAGTAATAGTCTCTACGCCCCATATTGGAGTGTTACAAACTAAGAAAAATCATAAAGAGCTTTGTTCAAAATGAGACTGCCACCTTAAATGCCAATACAATTCATTAAAAGTAATAATACATTGGTGAAGGAGGCTAAATCTGAAGTGACAAGAACAACTAGCCAAAAGTATATTATACTTCATTTGCTATAATGATACAGACACATGTATGGTGTGAGAGCGGATGCAGTCGAACCCCTTTTGTAGTAGCAAATAATATTCACGAATACATGCACACGCAACAGTACGTGACATGTGCAATGCGGTAAAGCGGAAAAGCGGAAAAGGCAAACTCAGTACTCAACACAGCCACTAGTTGAGTCAGTCAGCTATTCCTTAGTGTGAGTGTGTATGTGTCTGTGTTTATTGTATCTGGCACATTTCCGTTGATTCTGATGTCTGCTGTGTTCAGAACTTTTATCAGTTGTATCAATGGCCAAGTTTGTTGTTGCGTTGACAGGCGAAAGTGTCTATCATATCTTTTGTTCAAGTGGCTTTTTTCAGTCGCATCTCTCTACTTTGCTCATGATATCAAGCGTTCAGAGTTAAATTTTTAATTGACGGATGTCGACACATATTAGTATGGACCAATGCTTCAATCCGTGCTTGCCCCGAACCGTTTTGAACGCGCAATTTTCCAAAAATAAAAACTTTTTAGGGATACCCATCCCCAAAGCTTTAATTACGGGGTCCCCAACCATTACATTTACTTTATAATATATATTTCAAATACTAGCGCACATCTTGTATATAAAATACTAGCGGGTATTGCCCCACCTTGCCCGTGCAACGTTTTGTGCTAACATTTTTAGATATTACCTTTCCAATAAGTACACGCCCGTGGAAAAGAAAATCTACCCATCTTGGTCTCCGATTCTATTTTAAAATACATATGTTTTAAGTGCATTGAATAAAGAACCAAATGTTGGAATCAACGATTTCCGCCCATGTTAGTCCTGCGGTGAGAATCTTGAAGCTGAATAATAAGAACGTATCAAATAAATTCTAACAATGATCTTTGAAAATTTAATTTTTGAAGCCGATCGAAAAAGCTTCCATACAACCGTTTTTCGATATTTATCCACTGTTGTGGGTGAATTTTGAAAACAATCCTTGAAAATGAGTTTGATTCCGATCGGACAGTAAACAGAAAAGTTTCATACAAACGTTTTTCACGATTTTGATGGTCGAAAATGGAAAATCGAAATAGGAATACCATGTGATATACCTTCTATAATAGGTGATTTTCTTTTAAGAAGAAGACATGTGACAAAAAACCCTTGTATTGCTACAAATATTTCGTACATATTCTAAATACTTTCTGGGGTCTTCGGTGTCTAGGTAAACACATTTTTATATAGTATGCTATACTATACTTCAAATAATATTTGAAAGTCACTCAAGAGATCAGCAATCGCCTACATACATAAATGTTTGTATTTATGTATGTATTTTTTTTATTTAAATAGTTATGTATTTTTTCAAGCATTTATATATGTATTTGTAATAGCTGCTGTCTTTAGTTGTGCCTATAGTTCAACTCGTTGGAATTTAAATCCACTCCTAGTATATTTAATCGGCAATAGACCATGACAGTGAACAAAGAATCTGTTTGTTGGCCGGATGGCAGACTAACGGTCTGTCTGCATGTCTGGTTGGCTGGCCAAATGCGGTTTAATTGTGCATCAATAAACATAAAGAATGAGTACACAAGAGCCAAGTGAGGTAACATTAAAACGCACGAGTATGACGATTGTGCAACGAAGCCTCGGCTGACTGGCTTGCTGACTGACTGAGTTTGGGTTTGGGTATTTTAGCGCGCTTCGGCAAATGAATGAAACCGATTTCCTCCAGAAATGCCACAGGCTGTAGTTGTTTAATAGTCCTCTGCTGGATTGGTAACGTTATTCGGTAAAAAACATTTTAAATGTAGGTAAGCGAAGATCCAAAATGTAGAACAGACATGCTTTAAGATTTGCATTATGGATCTTTTAACCGATTTTAAAATTGACATGGGAACATTTTGAGAAGCTAAAAGAAGAATAATAAAGTTAAAACTAAAAAAAAAAACAGACCTCTTTTAATTTCGGCAGGAACCACTGCCAAATAAACTTCTGATTGACCACCTGTTAACGGTTTGTAAACTGGAGCAGATATGTGGACTAATTTACATTTTCTGGAATGCAGGATAATTGGTTCATCTAATCATTCAATACTTACACTAGTTTTGTAATTATTAGTTTACCATTCGTATATATTGTTAGGCCATTAGTTTTTTCAAATTTGCTCGGTATTTTTACAGTATTTTGATTCACTTTTGCTGTTTTAATTAAAACAGCGGTTTGCTGGCGACAAAGTTTCTTTTTGAATTTCGCACACTCTTATTTTTGAAGCACCTAAACAAAAATTATATTGCACACTATTAAAAAAATGTGATTGAAATGGACCGTTTGACGCGGACACGACATTCAGAGCGACAGCAATAACAAAAGCAATACAGACTGAAATCTTAAGCCACCCGCTGCAAAGCGTTTGGCGTGTACTTCCGCCGTGAACGTCACGAATTGAATGAGCCAACAACTGATTTTCATTTATAATGAAAACTCTTTACAGGGCGACAGTAAACCCAACACGATGGCGAGCCTAACGACGACGACGACGCTTTTCCAACCCCCAAATACGACTGGGCAACCCGAAAGAGCACGAGCAAGGGCGAGTCGCGTTAGCGGTGGGTGTCATTGCGTTTGTGTTGTGTGTGTGTTGTGTGTTGTCTGCATAAATTTGTATGTGTGTGAGAGTCGAAGAAATCCCTAGCGCGCAGCATTCACATTGCTTTGTGGAACCCTATTTATTTCGCTGCTTCCCAATAACATTCGTTCTTGCTCGGCTAAATCAGTGTCACGAGCCGGGCCTCGTGTCGGCGGGGAAATTATGCACTGCTTCTGTGTCTACCTTTATACTTTTGCCCACCGCGCTGGGGCATGACGATGACGTCGACATTTCACAAGCACTGCGTTTGCCGCTGTTTCGCCGTTCACAGTTTCAACTGTTGCTGCTGGC